ATGTTATAAACACACAGTCAAAGAAAGAGATTGGGGGGAGACACCTGTTGAGGAATTATTTCAGTATTTAAAAAGGTAAGACTTCGATGTGATCGTGTGTGAAGGATGGAGAGCAGCATCAGGAGGCACTCTTCCTTTAACATTTTAAACCATCAATGGAGTTTATAAATCTATTTGTGGATTCAAAGGAAAGAAATGAAATATTGATTATCAAGGTGTCTACAGATTATCCAGGTAAAAATCTTCACCACTCAAGGGCAAAGAAGCTTTGGGTTAGTGAGGGAAGGAGGGCATTATACATGCAGGTTGAAGTAGATATAGAAAGAAGTCCCAACAACAGTAAAGTAGAAAGAAACATTAACAATGAAAGCTCTGAATCCCTTTCTATGAATAATTTGTTTTGGAGGAATAAGGACAAAATAAATGAAAAAGGCCAAAGATTTATGAAGAGATTATGAACAAAAAGCATTAAGGATATTAAAGGAAGAGGATATCTTTAAGGGGAAGGACTGGTTAAGAGGAAGTAATCATTCTGTTAAGAAAGGCAAAATGCTCCCCAAATAGATACCAGTTATCCTATAATCAATAAACTCTTGATTTTCTTCTCTAGTGTTGTTTCTGCAGAAGTAGTTGAAGGCAATAATTGGAAGAGTGAAGTGAAGTTCAGGAAGTAAAGATGTATAAACTACAATTTGTGTCATTTGTAGTAAAGCAGATGCACTTTTAGATCATAATGTTAAGTGAAAAAAGTTGGATGCACAAGTTAAATACGGTATGGTTTCTCTTAGATGACAAACACCAAGTAAAAATGAATTGTGGTTTGTATTTAGATGTCTTCCCACATGAGATGTCTATGACTTCTCATGCAGTCATAGAGGTGGACTTCTAGAGTCTGTGAATGACTCCGTGGTTCAATGCTAGAATTACTGGTGGTAGTGCTGTACCCAAGTGGGTGTGGCCTATATACAATATATAAGGATAGAAAGAGTCTTCTCTCTGTGCCCTTTCCCTTTTGCTCTTGTTTTTGCTGTCTTCTGCCATCATGAACTGCTTTCCCTCTGCCATGCCACCTTGCCTTGGAGCCATCTGATTATGGACTGAAACCTCCACTAATTGAGAGCTAAATAAACCTTTTCCTCCTTCATTTTGGATATCAAGTATTTTGGTTCAGCAATAAGAAAAAAGTAACCAGACATGAACTAAAGAGAAAATAAAAGATAAGTGATAGAATACAGAGACAGATATTTTGCCAGTGGGAAGGGGACCAAGAGATGGAGGTGAGAAGGGAGCAAGAGGAAGAGGGTGTAAAAAGAATTAATATGGATTATGTACATGTGCAAACTCCCCATGAGGAATCTGACCATTATGTACTCAAACATGTACAGATAAAAATTAAAAAAAATTCAAAAGGAAGTCAGTGGTAAAGAACAGTGGTTAAAAATGTAAAACTAGGTAGGAAGTCAAGACAAGTAGGGTTCTGGGAGGTGAAATGATTAAAGTATATTATACGCATGCCCAAATGAAATCCATTGATCTGAATTACTAACATGTACTAATAAAAATCATATAAAAAGAAAGTCTGTGGTAATGCAAGAGAATGAAACAATGGGTTTTAAAAAGGTCACATGTTTATGAGAATATGATTTTTAGAAGACAAAATAATTTGTGGAAGACAGTTGTTTTTTGGGGGAAGAAATAATTCAGTGCCCAAACAGTCTCTAAAAATTTAAAAAGAGGAGACTAAGAGGGCCAAGGTGAAGCAGGTGGATGGGAACAGTGCCCCAACACAGAAGGAGTCCTCAGGAGAATGAACTGCATATTTTCTGAGGTGTGGGGGCAAAGGATGATGAGAGAAGAGAGAAGTAAATTCAGACATGGACATGGAGGAGGTTGGAAAATCTCTTTTCTAATAAATTATTGGATTTGTAAAAGCAATTAATGCTAATTTTAGATCACTAAAAATGCAAATACATTTCCCACTGTCTTCCATCAGGGTTATCCAGAGACAGGTGTTACTAAACTCTGAACTACTACATAGTATTGTTTGGACAAATAAACGCCTATGGAATAGAAGGCTGCCTTTTGGGGATCTGGTCAAACACATCCAATGCTAAATTTCTGTCAAGCATAACTAAAGCATATTATGTGTCCACAACGAAAGCAAAAAAGACATCACCACTCCAGAAGACTTTTACCATAGGTACAGCCACCATCACTGACGACAGGAGCAACAGCAGCAAATGACTGCTGAGTGCTTATCATGTGTTTGTTTCTGTGTTAAACTACAGGAATTTAAAGTTGAACAGGCATGGAACTTACCCTTGAGAACTTTAAGATACTGTAGGAAGAAGATGGTGTGGTTTGGAAAAGTATCACCCAAAAGCTGATGAATTAGCTTGGTTCCCAACCCATGATGCTATGGGGAGGAGATGGAGCCTTTGTGAGGTGGAGCTAAGCAGAGGGCTTCCAGTCATGGGGGTGTGTCCTTGAAGAAGATACTTGGACCCCAGTCCCATCTTTTCTCTTTGCTTCCCAACTACTGCAAGGTAAGCAGTTTTGCTCTACCACATGACCCTGAAATGATACGCTGCCTTGCCAGGGGCTCAAGAGCAAAGGGGCCAATCAACCACTGACTGAAATTTTCAGAACCATAAGCCAAAATAAAACTTTCCTCTTTTGTAGTTGATTATCTCAGGTCTTTCTTACAATAACAGAAAATTGACTAACACAGGTGAGGCTACTCTCTATCTCCAATGTCTGCCCTGAGAATATTTCTCATTTAAAAGTGTATGAATAAACTTCCATAAGCTATCAGGTGGGGGATGACAGAGGTCAATAATACGAAGTCTAGGTCAGTAATTGAATGCAATAAAATCTTTTGGCTTATTCTGTTTCCAATCTTTTAAGTTTTGTGGCTTTTCCATTTCATTTCACCATGGTAAACCTTTTTTCCTATTCGATCTCTGAGCAGTTTCAGGTAACTGGTCATGGGTACAGAAGTACCTTAAAAAATCGAAAACATTCCTCACATTAGAAGGATTTTAAAGTGAAAGCTGTAAAGAAAATATAATTGAAGAAATTCTACTGGAAGAAGTGTCGCTTGCATATCATGACAGATATAGCCCTCCCAGGACACTTGTCACCTAAGGGTACAAAGTCCCATTCTGAACCAGAACTCTCAGAATGGAAAATAGCATAACTTCCTTTGTCTTAAGAGCTTATCATTTTTAATCAGTAGCATACACTTATCCAGGGTTTGGAATAAAATTAAATTAGTGTTTAGAGTGGAGGAAAATATTTCAAACATTTTTGAGCCAAACAACAAAAGAGATACATCTTCTTACCTAGAGGTAAGGCTCAGGGATAGGGAATGGTAAATACGGACAATAGACATCCATCTCTGAGTTTTCATCAGTCAGAGACAACCAAAGTAAACATACCTGTGTCTTTTTAAGATCAATAACAGGCAAAAAGTGATATGAATCATGTCTCTAAAAAGTTAAGTCAGTGGTGGGATTGTGGCAAACTGTCCCAAAGTGACAAGAAAGGCTTGAGATGAAAGGAAATAAGGCATCATGTCAGTACCACTGACATGGATCCCATGCAGAAAATTTGCGCATCATTTTGATACTATGCTCCACTTTTCTTGACCCCAGAGATATAGCAAAATTTAGCAGAAAGCAAGGCAGAGACCCAGGAGCTCTGAGTGATGTAAGGCTTTCCTTTCCCAACAATTCTAGGTCCTAGCAATCCCTGAACCACCTGTAAACAGAAATAGTGGAAGATTCAGTGTTTTGGTTCAGCACAGGCTCTGGCATGAAAATGTGAGAAAGCTTCACCATCTGAAGCTGGTTTTATCGACGTTTACTTAAGTTATGCTGCTGTCTTGCAAACTGGAATCAGAACAAGATTAAGATCATGAAGTCTGAAGGATGCCAGAAGCCCACGATTATGCCTTTGAATTCAGAAAAATCAGGCTTGGGTAGAAATGCCTGCTGCAACTTTAGCCTAGAAACACAAGTTCTGTTCCTGGGAGAAAGGGCTCAACCAGGAAAGAGGCTATCATGCTTCGCTACCTCTTGAGCAAGGCACAGCAAGAAATTGTACGGGGCTCCCAAAACCAAAAGTATCTCAGTTACTAAGGCATATTTCCCCCCTTAGAAACACAACTGATAGTAGAGTGTCCATTGTCTCAGAGGAGCCTTTGATATCGAGTCTTAAGATGATTCATTTCTGGAATTTCATTTTGCTAATTCATCACTAGTTCCATAGCAAATCACACATAATGTAACTCGGCCTCATCAGAAAGCGGTACATTTAGCCTCAGGGGAAGTTACATGAATGGCACTGGGAAGCAGCAATGGTATAACAGACCACAAATCTATTGGTCAGTAGTCTTCTGTACCTTCTGTATCAGAAGTTGTATAAGGATTTTAAAATTCTAATTTCTTAATATTTACTTGGAACAAATATTAATTTGTTGTTGTCTGCGAGTCTCTTCTGCAGAGCTGTGTAAACATAGGCCAACAGAAACTTCCTTATGGCAGAGATCAGCAGGAAAACTGAGACAGAGCAGACAAAGTGAGATAGCATTTACCACATAAGGTTACAATCAATGTGCTGGGGTTGTCGGAGGCAAGAAGTTGTAGAGGAGACAGAAGCACTTCTTCCTTCATATCCATAAATAAGTGGTCTAATACTCTGACTTTGTTGCAATAATTGAATGAATAGCATTTGTTTAAAAAAAAGTGGATTCTCTATGTGTTAATTAACACGCTGGCCATGTAATTTCAGTGCCATCCTGCACTTAAAATTTCTCCAGCTCCATGTTGAGACCTGATTTTGGCAATCAAGCCTTGGAAGTTTTACAGTTAGGCACACAGTACTAAAGGAAAATCATTCTTTTTCACATGGGCACCTTAAGCTTGGTCATGTGGATTATACACAAGCAGCTGTTACCTGAATGGGGAGTAGAATTTGGGGCTGGTCACACCACTCACCTTTACTGATATCTTCATATTCCATCCAGAGTCGCCGCTGGACTTGCTTATTTGGGTACCAGATAGAACAGGATTCTTCAAAGCCATAGATAGCTTCCTGGATGTAATGGTTGCCAAACTGATCCAACAAGGCCACGAAATCTGCACGTGATGTAGCTCCATCCAGGGAGTGAAGAGCGTTGCTGAAAGCTATGGAGGAATTTCATCCAAGAATAAAGTGAAGACTCGCAATCTGAGTTGTATGGACTCCCGGGCAGTTCAGGTGTGAGTGTGAATGTGTGGCTCACGGAGAAGCTGGACAGCCGGCTACGGAAACCAGGTGGCTGTTTCTATCTGATCAAATCTGATCTTTTCAAATCATTTGGTTGTATCACGAGCTGTGTAAACTAAGCAGAATACTGGCAAAGCTCCACTCCTACCCCATAAGTAGATGTGTTTTCCCCCTTAACCACAGCTCATGACGTTAAATCAATTTAGTTCAAATAAGAGCATAGTTCAAATAATAGCAAGTAAGAGTTTTCAAAGAAAGAAAATAGCATAGTCTAAACTAGACACACAAACACTAGCAGAGAATGTTTCACAGTGTAAGATGAAATGCTGTTTCATGAAACTTGTGTTGTACGGATGTGGGAGTGTGTGTGTACACTCAAGATCATGAAATAGAAACATATTCTAAAAATGGGTAATGACTACAAAAGTTTGCAAAGTGCTACAGGTTTTAGACACAGAAATGGGCAATGGGTAGATGGAAAAAGAAAGTTAAGACAAGTCATCAATACATTGTTTATATCTTATTTCAGAAAATCGAAGGTAAGAGGATTAGGAAATGACAAATGGAAGAAATGCAAGAAATCTCTTGGCTTTTCTTTAAGAGAAACTGTACTCATAAGACAGAGAGCCTATGGGAAAGTTTCCAACTCTGATCCGATACTTCTGTATCTGGAGAGTTCTTTATAACCTTTTTTCTACCTAAGTATGTGGATCTTACTAGGACTAAGTGGTGTCTAGCGCCAGCAGGAGACCATCAGTGGTAAAAATCACATCACTTGTTACTTGATTATGTGATTGTTGCTACATTATTATATGGGGCAACAGACATAGATATCCACCCGTATCTCAGCATGTGAGAGGTACAGAGCTTCTACCTCCATGTTTTCGAGAATGAAGAATAGCTTGGTTTTTTCTGGACGTACTATACCTACAGAAATGCTTACTGTGGGCCTCATCCTGACAAAAAGTTTTGAGTCCCTTTGTGTCCTACAGATGTGCTCTATATCTTTAATACATCATCTTTCTCTACTCAACCTTTGTGTGTATATGTCTCATTTTTGTCATAACTCTCTGGTTATCATCGTTCATTTATCTTTCTCCCATTGACTCTAAGATTTTGCCTCCCAAGACCCTAAGTAAAAGTTTAGGACTCAATATTCCTCAATATGCTAGAGAAAATATGCATATATTTATTTCTATGTATATATGTATCTATATATGCATTATTATGCAGATATTACTGTGTTCTATAGTTATATTACTATTAATTATAGATATGATTCTCTTGTTCTGTATCTCAATTTATGTTTATTAAACTTACTGTTTAAGAAACTTAAACTGTTTGCTATTTTCTGATTTTTCTTCCCCCTTTTTTGCTGCCTTTCCCTCCTGCCATTATAAGGAATCTCTAAATGATGTTCTTTGCATTTTGAATGTTTTAATCTCTCAATTTGTGAAAAGTCTGCTTTTGAAAAATTCTCCCCACCCACTAGATGACATCAGAGTGAAGATAAATCAATTGTCCACACATCTCTCAACAAACACCTCCTGGTGCCTTCTACAGATGTTACTGGTTCCAGCCTTTCCCATTCTGTCTCTTGTACAGCCGAGACAATGCTTGAAATTCAATCTGTGCATAGAAGAGGATCCTATCCTTAAGTGCCATTTTCCCTAAGAGTGAATCTGAGTAAATAGGTCCTATATCCCTTGGAGTGAGTTACATCTTCAACACTGGGACCAGAGGTGCTATGTTCCCTTGGGACAAATTCTAAGGCCCTGGCAGGGCTTGGGGAGCTCCTGCTGCAGTGCTCACCCTGAGAGACAGCTGCCTGATTGAGTTTGATGTGGTACATCACAGACTGCACCTTCCAGTGCTGCAGCACGGGGTAACCAGATACCTCGCTGAAGTTCACCATCCCTGGGGAGAGAATAGACACAGGGTCAGTGCATGAGATTGAGTCATAATTCCTAAGTCAAAAACATGACCTGACTCAATCAGGTTAAGGATTATAATTGTGAGAAAATGATGAGGTTTTCTCTGGTGAAGAGAATTTCCAGACTCAGAGTAGTAACAGCAGCTACCATTTATTGAACATTTACTTTGTGCCAAGCACTTTGCTAAGTGCTTTGCATATCCTGAGCTTTTTTATCCTTCGGAGAGCATTGCTATTATTGGCATTTTAAAAGAAAGGATTCTGCGGCTCAAAGGGAGTGTTCATCTACAAGGTCCCTAAGAAACCAGGTAGGGCAGGATGAAATTCCAGATGTGCCTGAGAACAGGACCAGGGTTCTGACTCCTGCTACTATAATGTCCCCTAATAAATTTATATTAAACTTCAGGCTTTCTGTAACCCACCAGTTTCTACTCTGTTTAGTAGTTGCTGTAATTGACTCAGCTTGCTGTCTGATAACATTAATTTTTCTGTCTCATTTAACTGATTTATGTTTGGTATTTAAGTTTTAATTACTCTGAAGCTTATTTCTTCTTTACCAGAAGGGACAGTGTCAGGGTGACTAAATCACTGTAGAAGGCAGGGTTGGCCAAATATCAAGTGTCATCTCTGTGCCAGGGAACATGACAGGCACCGTGCCCCTTTTACTGATGGGACAAGTAGGCCTATGAAAAGCTAAATTAGTTATCCAGGCCGCTCTCAGTAAACACTTCCTGGAGCCTTTTACAGGTGTTATTAATGGGCTGTTCTTTCTCAAGTGCCTGGAGAACGACTGTCACCCTTTTTGAATTCCAGCCTTTACTATAAACAGAAAATGCTATGGAAACAAAACAATTAGGCCATAAGAAATTTTAAAATTGGCTTCTAAATTTAAGAAACCAACTTTCATTTCTTTGCCTAATGTTTGGTACATTTGCAACTTATTGATGTATACACATGAATTTGTGAATGCCTATATACACAAATATAATGGCTGTATATTGTTTATATATAAAATATACAACATGTAGTGTGTATGTGTACAAATGCAATGGCATTCTGCCACTTTAACCCAAGCTCCTTTAACTTAAATCAACTAATTTAATCCCTAAACTGAATGACGCGTAGGCAGGACTAATTAGGTGCTTGTCAACTTTGATCGAATTAGTTGAGTAATTACCAAATTTTCATTTCTGTGTGAATCATATGGGAATAATTATTGGTGAGGCAAAAAAGGAAAAAGGTCAGGAAAAGTGCTTAATGAATCAATTGCTTATATTTTATCTTAGGTAATCAAAGACAAAGTACCTAAAACTAAAAGAAGGTTCTCAGTACTTTGTTTCCTTTTAAATATTCTTCTTCCAGAGCAGTAAGCTTTGTGATGACAATCATGCTACGACATGCTTTGACTTTTAACCTGTGTATGAGCTTCAAAGCACACAGACGAAATTCTAACTTTGCAAGTTTAAGACTTCAGTCGTGTACCTTAAAGGTGCACATCCTTAGAATTTAAACGTGTATGGTATCCAGAAACGCTCTCCAGCCATATCAGCACATCAGCAGCTTTGTTGTTATAAAAAGTCAATTTATTAAATATAATGTGTGCAATAAATAAAGGCTTTCAGGGCTCAAAGTTCCTTTTAGTTGAATTATTTAGTAGAAGAAGAAATGAGGAAGAAACGAGGAGGCCAGAGTCCCGGAGCCAGGGGCACTGCTGCAGAAAGCTGTTTGAGATAGCGTCACTCTGATATCCATAACCTCTTGATCTCACAACCCAAGCACCCTCTCCCTGGATACACGGCCAGGGCATAGCTTTTATCATTATCTTAGCACACGTGTGCAGAACATAATGTTTGCATTCCTTGAGTGGAGTCAGTGTGTGTGCAAAGCACACCTTGCTTTCCTTGTTCACCCCCTTTCCCTCCCCTCGCACCAGGCACCTCCATGGTTTGCTCCCTTCCCATTTGAGAAAGACCCATCTCCCTAATTCCTGTTATCTTTTTCTTTGCTCTTTATAACTTGGGTTCCTCGTATAAGAGAAACCATGTGATATTTAAGCTTGTGTGCCTGATTTATTTCATTTAACATTACGATCTCAAGGTGCATCCATTTTTGATTTCCAGTTGTTTCATCTATAAAGTGAACCACTTCCCTGAGATGCTATCTCATTTCCTTTTCAAAGCTGCGATCCCCACCAGCTGTCTGACTTTGGGCTAGGCAACTCATTTGTTTCGGTTTTCATATTGGAAAAGGGAGGATAATGGTATTCATTCTTCTCACTTCATAGGTATGCTAATAAAATTAAAGACATAAATGTGATCTGAGAAAAAAAATATAGCATTCTTCACATGCATGGCCTCAGAGTGGTCATCAGCCTCCACCTGATCCTCCTCTCTGCTTTTATCACACCAAACTGTGAAAACTTCACATCTCTTAACTGATGCTTTTGTTATAACTTCTTAGGCTTCAGTTCAGAACAAAAGAAAAAAGAAAACATAAAGGAACAGGCATGAGGGAAAGAATGACAGTGCCCTAGATCTACCTAGGAGGAGTCAAACAACTGAACTCCATTACACAGCTGATAAACAACAATTCCACTGGATGCACTGGGTTTCACCACAGTCAGGAAACAGTTATGTAACTGATAATGCTTGGGAAACGTTTTTCTGTGCCTACTTGCAGATAATATTTCCATTAGTTAAAAAAAGGAATATTTTAGACTATATATTTTCTAGCTGAGTCTTATGATTCCTTCTCAGTATACCCTTGACTCACAGTCGGGTTTAGTGTTTTATTTTATTATTATTTTGAGACACATTTCTGCCAAATGGTTCTTTATTTTTTCAAACAATACATCTCAGACTGTTTTCTTGAGAAAGAGCATTATTTGTTTTTCTACCATTTTGAGAAAAAAAAAATAACTGCACAGGTATCTGTAAGCTTCAAGTCAGGAAAGGAAGGGAGGGAGGAGAAAAGGAGGAAGGAAGGAACAGAGGATGAAGACAAGGAGGGAAGGAGGGAGAAGAGGGAGGAAAGAAAAGGAAATAAAGAAGAAAACTAGTTTCATCTTGTTTGATTTGTAACGCTAGAGCTACATCTTACCCCAAAGCTCTAAAGGCAGAAATGTGTTTCCTCTGAAGGGACTTAAGAAATTTCAAAGAGCCCAGGGGCTCTAATCTTCAAATAGATTTAGTGCCTATAGCACCAAACAGACCTATGCGTCTGACCCGCAGTCACCTCCACCTCCTTAGTCAATCACTGGACTTCCTTCTTTTTGTTAAATGAAAGACCCTACACAAATGGGCAAAGCAAGACATGTATAAAACTCTGCCCACAGTCTGCAGCCCCTAGCTCAGGACACTAAGCTGGCACTGTCTACAAGTCAGACTTGCAGAGTGCCAGACCACTGCTTCTGGCACACAGCCTATGAGGCCAAACAATAACCATTATAACAGTTGAATCTAAAAACCAGACCTTGCTTAATAACTGACAGTTTCTCTAATTTTTGTTCTTGCTGTTTAGGACAGAGCAGAGAAAGCCGAATATGTATCTCCTGTCAGTGGCAATTAGCCCACCTGCGGCTTCCCCATGCCAACCTTTCCTGACTTCCAAATAAAGCTTTCCCAGTTCTGCTTTGACTTTTTGCCAGATCTTAAGTGATGAGCATTGTGTTCCATGCTATAACAGCTCAGAATAAATAACCTGTGCCTGTCCTCATTTTGTTGGCCTTTGTTTATTTTCATACAACCTGTAACAACAAAGAGGCCTGCGAAGAAGCTCCAAGTTTGCAACTATTCTTCCTCTGAAGCAAGGAAAGGAACAAGGCAAGGCAGTGTTTTCCGGTGTGTTCTTCAACTAATCATTCCTCCAGGTGGAAATAGATGCTACATTTGAAAAGGATTCTGTTGTTAAATAGGTTTGGGAATTGAGGGTCTAAATGAAGTGAAAGGCATTTTTTTCCTGGAGACTTCTCGTATCTTTTTCTAAAGCTAAGGTGATATAAATTGCTGCTTTGAAGACAGAACTCATTTAGAAATGGAATTCTGGTTTATCATGAAACACAAAACAAAAACCATGCTTGGAAATGCTGATATAGAAGATTCTGAAGACTGCTTTAGCTCTAAGATTCTCTAAGCTTGTAGGTTTATGGGGACTGTGACCTATAATAGACAGACTGTGACATGACACAAGATTTACTCTGTCTCTCAGGAAAGTTACAATTAAAATGTTGCACAAATTACGGAAATAATGTGGAAGAAATTTGCTCAATCGTCCCTTTAATGAATCTCTCTAGTCTGGGCTTTAAAAATAAGCTTCACTCCTTGCTTACATCAAAGACAATATATACAGTACTCTTAACCCATCTGGTACCACTTCTTCATCAAAACAGGTTAAAAGCAAAGGTTGGGTGGAAAAGTAGTCTGATCAGGAAGAATTCCCTCTATACCTATAGGAATTTTATTCTTCATTGCCTCATGACTATGAAAAATAAAAGTTCCCATCTGGTTATTCTTCTATTTTTTTCTTTTCATTTTCCTTTTTCTTCAGTAAGTCCTATCAGGCAAGATATCAGGGCACAAGGGAGAAAGAAGTTTCTGTTTTAGATGAGGACCAAGTGTGGATCTTATCTTTATTCCCAAAGATATCCATTCAAACATGGGTTCTTTTGATGTTTTTCACACCTCTCCCCTTGTTCCTCCTGGAAGCCTTCTGGTAGCATCCTGAGTGTCTGTGGGTTTTCTTCTAGCCTGATAACTGAAGTTGTAAAGTGTGAGCCAGATGTGCTGATGGATCTTTAAACAGAGGCCAAAGAGTTTACTAGTGACATGGAACCTGCCCCGACTACCATTACAAATTCTTACAGATAGGCAGAAAGACTCTTAAAGTATCTTCTTTATACTGAAGGTACTAACTGGGAGACTTCAGAGGCACAGAGAGGGGAAGTATATGCTGAGCTGCTTGCCTCTTTCCATCTCAGCATGCTTCTCCTCGTAATGAGCCCAGAGGAAGAATGTCCTGGGCTCCAAGCAACATGGATGGGCAAGACTTGGTATCCTCCTTTTACCAAAAGAGACCCCATGGCCCCAGAATCTATGGTCCAATGTCACAATTAGAAAGTGGAAGAGTCGGGATTCAAGCCCAGGGTCATTTGACAATAAAACTCTGCGGTTTCCTTTTCCCTCACATGGCTCCATTGATACTTCCCAGAGAAACCAACAAAGTCATCATGGATACTCAAGGCATAGTAGCAGTCTCTCTGCCTTGTGACCTGGTTACATCCTCTAACCCCATCAAAAACTCGGCACTCTTACACATCTATTATCTCTTTGTTTCAAAGCAACTCTGTGAAATTAGCAAGGAAACACATTATTACCACCACTCTGCAGGTAATTACATGATAATATTGACAATCTTACTGACAAGCCTAATATCATTCAGTTTTATAACTGAACATTTATCATGTAGCAAAGAAACCACTGGTTTAGAAACCAAAGGAAGCAAGGTCAAGAGTTTTGATTTTCTGAAATCATAAAGAGTCGTCTATTTCTGGGGGCCAAGGGAAGGCGTACTCACCAGTGAGGAAGTCGGGGTCTGGGGTGGGCTCTGAGACTTCCTCCAGGCACTGATTCTCCAAGGGGATCGTGGCCACCACCAGGCCATCTGGCAGCTGCTGATCTAAGCCACGAGCAAAGTTGTTTTGCCTAGAAATAGGACAGACCTCCTGAGTGCCTGTGTGATTCCTGCTCCTTGGTGGGCAATCTATATTTCAACATGTGACAGGAACATTCTCTCCGGACCACACAGCTCCCTCACTCTGAGCCCCACTGAACACACATGTCAGGAGTAAGACACATGAGTAAGGGAGGCAAGGGAAGGGCCGGAGAGAAGACAAATCAAACCGCCAAAATGTCTACGGAAAGCGGAGAGAATATTCCTTCTCTCCCTAACCCTGGCCTTCTGGACACAGTCTCATTTAGACTGCAGTGTAGACTCCTCCCACCACAAGATTAATTGTGACACTTACTTCTTGTCTTTGAGCAACTGATTTCCAGAGTAAAGGGGGAAATATTTGTAAAGTGTCCTGTTTGTAACAGAAAAAGTGACCGCAAGAACTAGTTTGGAAATCTAGGCCCAGATTGTTAGAATGTTCTTGAGAATTTAGTCCCAGATCACTCTCAGCTGCTCTTATATTCATAATACAACATTGATATCATCATCATCATCTAGAAGGCATTTCTCCAAGTGTTTGGAGGAAGAGGTATTCAAACAGCACAAAGTAGAATATGGACAGGAGTCACATGTACAATCTACTAGAAATGGTCTAAATACATGTCTTGAAACCATTTGTACTTCTTTACACTCTTAATAATTAAAGGCCCCAAGTAGCTACAATATGGCCTATGTCTATCAATATTTACCACATTGAAATTTTGAAAAGGAGATTTTTTAAAAAGTTATTCAAAAATAACAATAAATCCATTCAGTATAAAAATTTTATGAAAAATAAGAGTAGCATTATTTTACATTTTTGGCAAATTTTGAAAGCTAGCCTTTAGTGAAAAGCAACTGTATTTCAATAACTGAATCCAGGTCACTGCAAGACACTATTTATGTTGAGAAATGTGAAGAAAGACCCAGCCTTTCTGTAGGTAGAAAAAGTCAGGACCTTGGGCTCTCTCTGCCAGGATTCAGGGGCCTGAGGGTCTTTGAATCATGATCTGAGCATTGCTATCCTAGCCTGGCTCAAACACTGACTCTCCTGTCCCGAAATAAAATGGGACTTAAGCACTTTGGAGTGAATTCTTTGAAAAATCTTGTCATCTCTGTCTGTCTGTCAAGAAAGAATCTCATCAACACTTTATTGCTCACCCAGAGAAAGCATGGTGCTTGGGTTCTTGGGGGGAAGAATGGAGATTTAGAGAAGACTATGGTTGAGAAAATAACCTATCCCTTTCTGTAACCTCATTTGCCCTTCTCCAAGATATAACACTTCATGCTGAGTACACGCTCGCTAGAAAAAATCTGCCAACGGAGCTGAATGATCAGTTCTGTGCTCATGAGACTCACCTGAATGTTCCTTTCAGTACCTGTCCAGGGGCCACTTCCTTGGATTGGTTGTTGTAACCAAAGAACATCTCCCCAAAGAGAGTCTGGTTCATGGGAAGCTCCCTGCTTTCCCCACAATCACCTCCCTCCGGGCAGGTCTCTGTGATGGGCTGGCAGGAACGTCCATCCACACCAAGCTTGTAATCTTCGATGCACCTAATGTGGTAGAGAACTCAAGATAAGAAATTACTCCATCAATGAGCTGTGCGGGCAAATCAGCTCACCAGATTGGGAAGAACTGCCTTTGAGAGAGTGCTGCATGGCCAAGAGTAGGAATACTCTGATTTGATTTTGATCCCTTGATAAATTAGTTTCTTAAGCCTATAGAATGAGGCTACATCTATCATAGGATCATACCAAAATTCTTAGCTTTCCCTTGAAGATAAGTTTTGCAGAACTTTGGCAATCTTTCTCCTCTTATTAGAGGATTTCCTACCCAGGCCAGAGTAAGAATCACTGGATATGTTTGTAAATAAGTTGACACATTTAAACTCAAGATGTATTAGTCTTTCTCCAGAACCATTTATGTAGCTGGGTCCTACATTTGTTCAAAAGGTAATCAGGCAGCGAAGGGAATGACATTGTGCTTAAGATATTAATAACTTTCTAATGTGGTCCTATGACAAGTCAACTAAGAAATTAGGAAGATTTATGATCTCCCTACTGCATTCTGTGTGCACGTATCTGAACACAAGATCGACTCACACCGACTCCCCCTTCATTCAGAGCAGCAGAGAGTCCTGAACCAAGTAACTGCAGGGGCACAGGGTGTGAACACCATGCACACCATTAACTGGGAGCTGTCTTCTCCTGTCCCCTCACCCTCCCCACACACACGTACAGTTACTCCAACAAAAAGGCGACATTTATTTGGCAAATGTGGGCCATGGATTCATCAGTCATTTATTAATTGCCGTTATATTAGGAAGAACCTACATTTGTTTGCTCAAGTAGCAACTATTTTGGTAACAATATCATTGAAAAAAGAATATTGGTTTAATTTGATCCTCTCTCTAGGAAAGGAACATAATTTAAAGATGCCATGCTATTAAAGCACATCATTTATTACTCTACACAGTAATTGTCATAATTTGATAAAGACTTTTGTTCCATATAGGCGAAAAAACGATCATAGTTTTAAGCAGTGAGAAGAAATATTGGAATAACAGTGACACCTTTCCTGGCCAATCCTGGGCCAGCTGACTATCCTCTCTGAATTTCAATTTCCAAAACTGTAAAAATGTAGGAAGTAACTGTTTTCATTGGGTTGTCTGAATTAACAACCTTAACATGAAGAACTGAGGCGGTATCTTATATATGGCTATAGTTAAATTACATATACATATATTATACATAGCTAGTACTCATTAAATGTTGCTATTATTAATAGCACAGATGCAAATGAGGCCCTTGTTAGTGCCAACTGTTAGTTTTGCCCATTTCCCATTTATATATTTGTGCTGACAGGTGTGAGGAGAGCTTTGTAACTATAAGTGCATGTTATTTGGTCTTTATGTAAGAGCCTCGGATCAAGGACATCTCTGGAAGGCTATGCATAGTGCTTTAGATAACTCTAAGCACACATGTGCCTCACTCTGATAGAAACAGGAAAGAAAGTCCAGTTAGGGACCTGCTATCTCAGCCCAGGAAACAGACCCACAAGGACTCCATGACTCCTGCAGTTTTAGAACAAGATAGCGAAGTGATTCCTTCTGCAAGCTGTAGTGTTTCTGGGAAAGACTTTGAAGCTGGCTGGTTCTTTCTTCTTAAACATCTGGACAGCTTCCCCTTCATGGCACCTCACTCCCCCTTCTCCTAAGTGTGTGTCTCACTGTAAACTCCTCTGAGAGGGGAGACCAGGTCTGATACTGTTTTCCTGTATCTCCCACCTAACAAAGTTCTCTACACAAATAGGTATCTAAATAAATATATATACATCAAATTTTCAAAAATGGATATAACTTTGGCTGAATTTAATTCTATTAATTGAAATGGGTCAACCCTAATGACAACCTTATAGAGAACATTAAAGTTTAGAGCAAGCCTCTATTTGTGGAATGGGATTTTACAAGAAACTGAATATGAAAATTGCTCAATTGCAAAGGAATAAAAATTTAAAATACAATAAAATAACATTACAACTCCACTGAACAACCTTTCGTGATAATTCAGCAGGCACTTGTTTTCAGCAGCCATCTAGCAGTTTTATGACTATAAACATTGATTGTCGTGCAAATCTGTTGGATGGCGGGATCCTGGAGTGCAAGAACTAAGTGTGCAGTGGTCAGGAGGGTATGTGGCATAAAGCAAGCCCTGTCCAGGCTGACTTGCAGGAGGGAGGAGGGGGGAGGAGGGAGGAGGATTAAGGAGGGAGTCGGGGAAGGGAGGACAGGAGAGAGAACTATGGGCTAAATCTTTAAAGATAGCGCAAGAATGTCTTTAACTATAATTCCACTTAAATTTAAATATAAATTTATATTTAAATATAAATTTAAATTTTAAGAAAACTGCAGAACTTTTAAAATATCAGAGACGGCCTGAAGCCCCTGATCCTAACCTTCCCACTTACTAGCCCTCCAGTCCCGAGGGAGTCACCCAACTCATCACAGCCAAGGTGACCTTGCCTGTCTCCTTCCCCCTCAGAGTCACCCTCAGAACAAATAAGGCACCTCCAAGGGCCCAGCAGGCCCAGGGCTTTTTCCACCTGAAGAGAACCTGCTGCACCAAATGCTGAGACTTTGGAGGCAGAATTTACAGAAGCTTCCAGAACTCCAAAGACACCCCTCCTTTCTTTGATAACTGATTAGTCTCACATAATCTTTCTCGAATTTTAGACCATGCAGTGCTTTCCGTCACAAACACCTAATTAACACAGCCCCACAAAACACAGCCAGGGACGTTCTGCTTTAATTAGGTCGAGCTTTCAGCAAGCCTGGCGATTAATTTTCCCTCGCAGGTAAACCCCCACGCTGGGCTTCCTGGGCTTCCTCCTGCACCGGCGGGGTGGCTCTGTGACTGCCCCGCAGGCTGCTCCCCAGCCGGGCGCTGGCAGAGGCCTCACCAGCTCTCTCCTACGGACCTTCCTGGTTCTGGCTCCGGACATCCTCACCACCGGCCAGCCAGGCCACCGCGACCACTACCAAAACCGCGACCCCAGCGCCAGCTCACCCGCAGAACATGAGTATGTTGTACAAGGCGGGGTCGTCCGGGAAGGGCGCCATCTGCTGGAGACACAGCTGCTCGCAGCCGCCGTTGAAGCCGTCCGAGCAGTCCACCCCGATGTGGCGGTCGTAGCAGCCCGAGCTGTCCTTCATGGGGCTCAGTCCAGACGGACACTGGCACAATCAGAAAGCATCCACACAGGTGAGTGAATCAGGGGCCCGGGTATGACCCTGACATTTATTTTTAGCTCTCTGCCTTGAAACTATTAACACTGGCAAGTAATCCACGAATTGCCCTCTGCCCTGGACTCCCTTTAAAAGCGAATGAATGACCTTTTCTGACAAATTGCTTCTTCTATCTGGGTACAGATTATATACATTTGCATTAGGGCTGCTTCCTCCCAACAGGCTGGGAGGGAGCTCTGTAGTCCGGCAGAGCCGAGATGTGCTGGCTTCTGGTCTGAGCCCCAGGCTGGTGGAGTGGAAGGAGCACTGGTCACAATTAAAATGCGCTAGCAGAGATTTTCTGGGTTAGGGGAAGGGAACGCTGCTATTTGGACTTGATGTTAAAAGGCTATTTCCAGTGTCCAAAACACTTTGTAGATGTTACTACCAGTCATCAGTACTAGAGGGAATGGGCTGAGCAGGGCCTGCAGCCTGAAGGAGGAAGTAACCTTGCCCTGTGACTTTAGAGAGGGGTTACACTACCCTCTGAGCTGGCCTTATGACAGCAGCTGTACCCATCAGATTCCTGCCTCCAGGGTACTCTTTGAAAGACACAGACAGGAGAATCTCTATGAGAACCCATGGCTGCTGAGGTTGGGTTTGGGCCACATATGCTTCTTGTGAGATATTTAATCTCTGCTTATTTTATCCTCAATAACACCCCAAAAGCTGGGCATGGTGACACACCTCTGTAATCTCAGCACTCAGGAGGTTGAGGGAGGAGGATTGCCTTGAGGCCAACCTTGGCTACATAATGAGTACGACCTGAATTACATAGTGAGACCCTGTGTCACCCCCCCCATGCCCCAAAAATGACAGCGAAGGAGGAAATCAAAGCAGAGATGCCAGAACCTGGGGAGATTCTAGAGCCTGGCGAGGCTTAGCAGTGCTTTCCAGTACCCGGTCTGCATCAGACAGCAGTCTAACGTGCTCATCCCCGACAGCACCCCTCCATGGGTAAGTATTGTGCGCTTCCCCATTTGATGTATGAAGAAACTTGAGATGAGGAGCATTTAAGATTCCTAAAGCCACACTGCTCATGACAGCTCCTCACTTGAACTCTGCCGGACTGACGGTGGAGTCTGAAGTGGCCGTTTCAAAAACCTGCAGCCTAGACACTTACAAGGAGCCAGCCACTGTGCTAAGGACTCCAGGCATGTTATCTCACAGCACCCTGTATTCTCTCTATTTAAACATAAGGAACCTTTTAACATTGCCAGTAAATCTGAGAACTCTTCTTTGCTGCCTAAGACTCCCTTTAGAAGCCGTGATTTTCCCGTCCCACTTCTCCAGGTGCAGCAGATGCTACATGTTTGTATTAGAGACAGCCCTTTCCAACTAGCTGGGTGGGGACAAATAACCTGTCAGGCTCAAGCAGCTAAATGACAGGGAGAGGAGGAGAAAACTGGGAGTCTGTCTAGATTGGATTGCAAAAGTTAGGTTTCTAAGACTGAGCTATACACAGACTGTCATTTGACAAAGACACTTTGCCGAATCCAAACCCAAATAAAACTTAGGAAACTCAGTGGAATGGTGTTAAACATCTTTTCTCTGCCCTCCCTCTCTGGCTTGCTCTCTCTTTGCTACCAAGCTCCTTGGCTTTGTAGCCCTTGCTAGGCCCATGTAGCTCTGAAAACCTACTTCTCTTCCCTTCTCCTGGAGATTCAGAGATCACAGCAGGAGAAGCAGTATTTGCTGACACTAATTCTGCAATTTCCCAAACAAATGGTTCCCTGCAGGCCTGCCAGGTCCCCCAGCCTGGTCCACCCCTTTTCTCCCCAGGAATGCTAAAAGGTGACAACATTTAAAGAAGTTGCCCCCTGCTGTGTAAACCCAGATGTTTCACAGGATAGTAAACAAGCAAATGAGGTAGCTGAGGATTGCACCCCTGGTGTTGTTAGTCCCCTCACACATCCAATTCCTTGGCCACCCAGCTGTTAGGCCAGATGTGTCACCAGAAGGGAGCTGCTTCGGCATCATGCATTTGGGTATGGAAACACAAAGTTTGATTGGAATTAAATGGGCTGCACTGGAAGTTCTCTTTCCCCCTCCCCCTCTACCGCTCTATTTTTTCTTTCTATAAAGCTCCCTAGAAGCCATCAAGCAGAGATGCATCCAGTCCTCCTGTTATTCCTGCCTGCACCAGGGAGCTCTCTGTCTCTGAACAGAGTCTCTGCCAGCCTCCCCATGTTCCTAACCACCTGCTTTGTTTCAGAATGCTCCATCAAGCGTGATATTTGACAAAGTCTCCACTGGATGACACATGAGCAGGGTTTGTTCCAAAATTTCAAAACCTGGCACATTCACATCTAGCCTGGCCTTAGTGTCTAGATGACCATTGCTCTCCCAAATTGGAGCACCTGATATCCACATTCCTTTGGGAAATTTGGAGAGAAGACAGTGTTAGCTGCCTTGTCCAAGTTGGATTTTTTTTCTTACAAACAAAGCTAAAAATAATCACAGCAACCAGGAATTAAATAATTCCTTGTGCAAGACACTTATTATCTACATATGTCAACTTCAATCCCAACAACACAGACGTTCTGTATCTTACCCATTTTCAGATCAATAAATTTAGACTCAGGGTAAGTTCTTGTTTAAGGTCACAGTGGTGGGAAATGGCAGAATCAGACTTTGAGTTTAGATCTGTCTGATCTCAAAGCTTGTGTGTGTTCCTTCTGTTCTGCCACCTGTTTTCCCAATGAGACAAAACGTAAATTTGTTGAGATTTTTAAAGAAGTCAAGGTATCAACAAGGTAATTCTCCTGTATCGATTCATTGTTCAGCTGTTTCATGCAATTCTTGGAGCACATTCTTGGGTCAATCAAATAGTTGTAGATTCAACCTGATACTGTTTATCTGTCTGTCTCTCTCTCCCTCCTTTTACACCTGCACACACACACACACACACACACACACACACACACACACACACAACCACCTTGTTATGAATACACATATTTTAGGAAAAAAACACTGCCAGCTCTGCAGAGTGATGACCTTGAAGGCAAGATCAGTTTCAGCATCACTGAAAAGGTGCCATTATCTTTACTGTGCTGAGACCGACTTAAGCTACAATTCAAAAGAAAGCATTTTAGAAATAGTTCCAAAAGGGCGAGGGGGAAAAAAGTTTTCTTCTTAACACTTGGAAACTAAAACACTGATTTCCCAAGGAGTTAATCAAGCTTTCCATGACATAAATGTGTTTTTTTTTGTGATTCATCTTCCTTCTGCTACTGTATTCAAACTCTAGTTTCTGCAACAATCTAGATTTACGTACAAAGAAGCAATAGACTCTAACCCCAGACCCTTCCCTAGAAGTATGTGTAACCAGAGCCCATTTGGTCAAGGGGAAATCCTGCCTCTGTGAGGAGCTTTCATTTTCTAGTCTGCTGGATGTTGGTTCCTCAGGCTATGCAGGATCCTCCCACTTGTTCCTTGAAAGAGAGCTGTTTGTTCAGGAGACAGACCCAAGGTCATACATTAAGCACTCTGCTAGGTGACACTCAGCAGTCCCAGGGACTTTATGAACTACAGACTTAAGAGAAAAAAATACTGCATGTATTTTGGCAGTGGACCTCCCCCATCAAGAAGGGCTAATAAATGAGCTCATTTCTGTGACCCCTAACGTACACAAGGTTAATCATTTTTCATGAGATGCTCATGGCTTCTTGACTTATTATTGGTCTAAGGCATAATTTGCTAATGAGATTAAAATGATTTCCTCCATTCAATTTCTTTTCTCTGTTATCTTTCCCTTCTTTTTCTACTGATGATTTTTGGCTGATTAATTGCTTAGGAGGTTAGTGCAGCCTCTGAGTCTGAGACATAGATACCTTAGTTTTAGCTTATGAAATGGATGCCCTGTCAGCATATGTGAACGTAGTCAGGGCTCCTGGGAGACAAAGGACAAATTCCCCAAGCTGAGCCTGCCTCGCCCTGCCTGGATGATTCACAGAACAGTTTCTCCTCAAAATAGGTTCTTTGTTACTTGGTAGCAACCTTACGCCTTTCACAAGTAACGATTCCTTTACAACTTTTTGATGGGCTCTGACATGCTGGCCCAATCCAGGCAGGATGTCTCTCAAGGGGAAAAAGCTAAAGTTTGATGAAGTTAAATTTGTATTTCAGACTGTGATAGCTTCCTGCCCTCGTTTCTCTGGAAGCCTCTGAGGTTTTGCTTACTGTCCTACAGAGAGAAAGAGAGATGATCATGTGTAATGGTCGCTACACATCTGTGCTCTGGCAGAGGGGAAATGACACGTTTCGTGGGAAACCACTGCAGACAGTATGGGGAAGAAGAGCAGTGGGGTCGCTGGGTAATTCAAAGCTCATTAGAGCATAATGCTGTGGTGGGGAAGGTCACGTGTTCCATAGACAAGAAAGCAGAGCGGCTGACCTCTCCTCTCTGGGCAGCCAGTTCTGTCCACCTAAGTACCTTCCAACGTCTTACCAAGCAGAGGGTTTTCTGTGGGCACTTAATTTAGGGTAATGTGAAGATGAAGAAGCAGCATGAACTATTTTCTTTGTTTTTGTTTCAAATCCAATGTTACACTGAGTGCAAATAGAGATCATGACAACAGTGAAGGTATCCTGGCTAAAGCTGGGAGCACGAAGTCTACCCTGATGGCATGCCATGTCCCATGGGAGATCCCCCGAGTCTGCCTATGACACAGGGCAGAAACCTGCAATGATACCACCTTCTGTGGCAAAAGAGACTTTGCAGACGTGATTAAATTAAGGATCTTGAAATGAGAGGATTATCCTGGAGTGTCTAGGTGGAGCTAATGTCATCACAAGAGTCCTTAAAAGTGGAAGACAGAGGCAGAATAGGAGAAAAGGGAGAAGATGAGCTACAGAAGAATCAGAAAAATGCAGGGTGGCTGGCTTTAAAGGTAGAGAAAGCTGGTTGCAAGAGATGTACATAGACTGACTCCAGGATTTGGAGAACATAAGAGAAATGAATTTTCTTCTGTAGCCTCCATAAAGATATACATTTGGTAACACCTTGATTTAGTCCAGTGACACTCATGGTAGGTTTTCATCTATAGAACTGTAAGATACTAAATTTAGTGACCTTTAAGTAGGTAATGTCTGTACAACTTGTTCAAGTAGCAATATGCTACTGCAGCACCCTGAAGGACCTTGAGCTGCTGCTTAGTGCTTCATGGTTCCCCCGCTGCTCCACCAGGCACGCAGGACAGGGAGTGCTGTCTGGTCCTCAGTGGTGGCTGGCTGGCCTGCATTCTAGGAGCCCTCCTGAAGTTTCAGCAGTCTGTGGTTTGAACAAGCCTGTGCCTTTCATGGCTATTTGTTGACTGTCCTCAGAGACTATATAAACAACAGGGCAATTAACTGGATAGCAATTAACCCCGTGGGTGTCCATGCATAACTGAAAAGCTTGCCCTGCCTTCCTAGAAAGAATGAAGGTTGATCAGCCCATGTGGACACAACATGAATTCCACCTGTCTGGTTTGAATTAAATCAGGAAAATATACAGGTGCAGACTTTGCCTCCTAACACATCTCTGCCCCTTTCCCAGGTTTCTGAAGGGCCAGCGTGCTCTGGGTTTCTCATCTCTTTATCTTTTCATGAAAATTGCCTGTTTGAAAAGTCTTTCAGCTTAGCACCCAGAGGACTGAATGTGAGGCTTACATGGAGAGGAAGATAGCAGGAAATTTTCATCAGAATGGAGCTGGTACCACTGATGCTTTTACTCCTGGTTCACCTCCAGATGATAAGGGACCACACTGCTAACACAACAGGGCTTTGGGACAGTACTGATGTCCAGTGAACTCAAGGCAGGTTCAAAGTCAAGGCCTTAATCTTCTCAGTAGGGTCACAAGCATCATGACTTGAGACATCAACTGTCAACCTATCCATCCCCTGCCCCAGGGATCATGCGTTTCATAACCAATGAAAAATAGTAAACTGATGTGTCTGCCAATCAGCCTGTACTGCTCCTTCCTCTGGGAGCCACGTGGACAAGTGACTTCAAAGTGTTATGCTAATACCAAATTCTGGTATAATTGGGTGGTTTTCTGCAGTGGCTCTGATTCTAAAATACAGCAGCCTCACTGCAAATGCATATTCATCAGAACTATTCCTGCTAGCTCCATCTCAGAGATCACAATGTTAAAAGTACAGGAATCCATCAGCCCAGCCCAGCTCTGTGCCAAGCAAAAGGGGTCAGCATCATCAGGAAGGTGAATGAAAGGCAAGGCCTGAGAGGCTCAGGAAGGGGTGGGGAGGAAAGGGAGAGTCTATTCCAGTGCCAGGGAATGTATGTATGTGTGTGGGGAGGGGGCGCGCTCAGGTGCATATGCAGTGGCTTGTGGCAGGGAGAATGGATGAGCACATTTAGTACTTCAGGTCTTAGAATGATCTAAGAGTAATATTAGCCAGTGAAAGGTTGAAATCTGGATGAAGAAATGCAGACTTTATAGTACAAAAGTGGGGATAAAAAGTGTCTCAGCGGGGAGCTCTATTAAAGAATGAAACTGCACCTCCCCCAGGGACCCACTTGGGGAGTTCATTGCATGTAACATGTGAGGCTGGACCAGGCACAGGAGGGGGCGCACCGCAGGACATCAGCTCACCTGCCAGCCACCTTTGAAAGACATGAGCTCACAAATGATTTTCTTTGTGTTTTTGGTTAGTCCTGGCTGCTCTTCTGTGACTGCACCTGGTCCCCAGCTATGTGTGCATCTTTGGTACAGAACAGCTCCCCGAACAGCACAGGAGCACAGAAATGCAAGGTGAAAGATGGCACCATCTCCCCTCCTCACGGCTTCCCCTGCTCTGAGGTCCCCTGCACAGCACAGCTGTCAGGCTGGGAAGTGAGATAGGCTCCACATCCACCCAGGAACTGGAAGCTCCTGGCTCTTTCCCTTACACTGCAAGACTACCTGTCTGGGTGAATGAGTTCTCTCTGTGGCCTGTTCTCACTCCCTGGGGCTTCCCTCCCATTTTGCTCTGTTCATCCCCTCTCCTCTCCTGAGGACTGCATTGTTTCCCTTCTCCACAAGGTAAAACTAGGGGTGGATGGCCCTGCTCATAGACATGAGAATGGCCAACAAAAAGGGTCCAGCATCCAATAGCTTTTTCTGCTGCTGCACCTTACTGTCTTAGTGTAGAAGCCGGCCCAGTCCACTCAAGCCCAGTGGGTCTTACTGGTCTGTAGCATTCCAACACATTTTATAAGCAGCGAAGGTCCACAGAGCAAAGTAAAAACCTATTTAAGAGTAAAAGAGTTCATGGCTGTGGCCTGAAATGCTCATATATTTATTCATTTATATTTTTCTCCACTATTCTTGGCATAGCTTACTTCTTTTGCTAGTCTAACATTTGGTAAGATTTCCTATTATACCTAAGGGTTAATATTATACTATTAAAGAATGTATTAGGTCTCACCAACTTTTTTATAATAATGGAAAGAAATCATTATGATTCCTTTGGATGGTTATTGAACACATAGTAGGTGCTCCATAAGATTCTTGAATATTCGATAATTAGCTGTTTGTGCATGTGAAGTGAAAATTTCTAAATTAGGTGGATATTATTACTGGGGACGCCAGCACATTTGCATCTGTATATCTGCATTACTTCTTTTTTTTTTTCTTTTTGTCGTTTTCCTTTTTATGGGTACCGGGGATCGAACTCAGGACTGCCTGCTTACAAGGCAGGCGCCTATGCCGCTGAGCTAAATCCCCAGCCCCTATATCTGCATTACTTCTTATGTGCTTTCCCTCCTCACCCCAAGCGGAACCTCCTAGTTTAGCAGGATAGACGCACCACACAGCCAGTGGAGTCCAGCTTGCGATCGGAAATGCATCGGAAGTTCTTACTGCAGCCTCCGTTATCTTTGCTGCAGTCCCGCACTGGCCCGAAGGAATCCAGGAGGACCTCCAGGCTATCAAAGGAGGAAGAGGTCATCAGCTCCTCTCTGCAGGGAGACACAGTGGGAGGTGAGGAGGAGTCAAAGGAATCCCAAAGCAACAAGTGGCACTACATTCTATGCTCCTGTCTCATCAACTGGATTAAGACTCACTCTTCCGTAAAAATTGAAGATTCATCATACTCTGAGACTCGAAGGAACAAATTAATAGACATTTTTTATATCTGGGAAGTGAGCCAAGGCTTTAACGCCTGGTCAGAGAAAAAGGTCTAAACTTAGGCCACGAAGTGAACATTTTATTGCCTGTCAGCCCTTGGGATATGTAAAAAGTGCTTACAAACTCTAATTTTACGTCTTTTTCCAGCTAACGAGCTGTAGGGTATGCAATATTGACACAGATGAAAAGCAGAGTACCGTGGTGGGTTCGGGAAATGTAAAAGCAGCTTGCTTATGCCTCCTTTCAGCTTGCAGTGACTTCTGTGCTAGCACCTAGGACCTCCAGGCCATGTAGGCCTCAGAACCCTGACTCACCGGACCTCCACAGCATCCTCCATGACGGTCATGTCAGTCTTACACTTCGCAGATGGGTTGATGGCCAGTTCAGCTGGTGGAATCACGAAGCTCTTGCTGAGGGGCAACCACATGCCCTCCCCAAGGGTGTAGGTGAACCTGTAGGGACATATATGTGACAGCAGAAGGTGAAAGCTGGGGACAGCACCACCCCTCACCCCATCCTGTCACCAGCTACCTCCTGCCCACACACAGTCTTCTTCAGATAGGAGACCGGATTATGCCATTTTATGGATGGGATGACTGAGTGAGAGGTACACAGAGAGGCCTGCTGTTTCTCACACAGCCAGACACCTGGAGAATTGATTACAGTGCCCCCTCACCAGACGTTACAAGTGGTTTTTAGCAAGTCACAAAGCTAACTCTTGCCTTCAGTTTTGAAGTTGGGCTTCCCCTGTCTCAAATCAAGATATAATTGGAAGTAGTTTCATCAAAAAGAGAAACTGGCCTCTCACCATCAGGGCCAGGTTCCACACCCATCGGGAGCCCTGTTCTCTCTTTCTGCCTAGAAGAGCCCTGACCAGGAAAAGACAAGCAGAAAGCTCCGCATTTCTGGCTTCTTTGTGACAGGAACAAAAATGACTGAAGCCAGGCGCCTCCAGGGAGGAAAGGAGAGAATGAACAAATGAACAAAACAGACCCAGATTTATTTTCTGCACTCCTACCCACACCCTCAGCTTACTGTGCTAACCCTTAGGATGCAGGGAAGATTTTTTTTTATTCTTATAACAAGGGCTAAAAGGAATAAAAGAATCAATCAGCATTTCAAGAGAGAGCTTAAGGAAACCACCGTGAGAGATTATTTGTTTATTTATTCATTCATTTCATTTCAAAGGCATTCAAATGCTTGTGTTCACAGTCAAAAACAGTCAGTGGGATAAAAGCCAGCATGGGTGGGATGTCACCGGGCTGTGGCAGTCTGGTGTCCCCTCCCAACTTCATGCCAGGGAAAGAACAATGAAAGCAGGGTTCAGTTAAGCAGAACTCAGCGTTGGCTCCATTAGCAGGCTGCTCACAGAACAGCATTTAAGAATCTAGCTCCTCTCTCCCCAAGAGTCTCCTCCTGGGTCTCGGAGATGACAGGAAACCAGATTAGTGACTTCAGATCTCTTATCAAGAGTGTAATCCTTTACAGAATGATGGCCACAGAGTGACCCACTGACTGTGCTGCGTTGCTCTAAAGAAGAGCCTTGATGCCAAGGGTTTTGCAAGAGGTGCCAGTAGGTGCCAGCTTAACTGCAAGGGATTTGCAGGGGCGAGGCAAAACTTCAGTAAGTGGGACCTGGTCAAGATTCGAGGTCAAGATTCTCTCCCATTTCTACCTGGACTCTTGGCTTCTGACTTCTCTGGTCTGTAGCACCTCAGGATGTTTCTTGCTCTAAAGGAAGCTCTTAAATCTTCCCACCCAGAGGGACAAATGGCAGTAGGCGACTGGTCTTTTCGTGCGGGAGGGGTCTGGGTCGGGAAATCCATTATTTGGGGACAAAAGACTGTGGCTTCATTCTTCCCTCAGTCAGCTAGTGAAATTGAAGGCATAACAGCACATTTCCACACACACACTTCCTCTGGCAACATGAAGGAGTTTGCTCTGAGCTACATATGGTCCCCAAAGTGCCTGGAATCTGGGACTTAGGAATAAATGCGAGTTGAAGTAAACAACCTCCAAGAATTTGTATGATTTCACTTTGCATTTTGTAACGGGCAGCAACGTTATACACCAGGCAAGCACTCACTAGCAAAGCATTGTTTCAGGATCTATGAGTTTGGGGAGGAGGCAGTTCATTGGACACAAAAATGAGTTTCCATTTTCTATTTTTGTTTCTGTTTTTTGTATAATTTTGCTTTGGTTATGTAATAGATGTTAGGAAATTATTGGCAGTTCTGGACCATTCGATGGCTATGTTTTCTCTTGGAAAAGCTTGGTCATCTGTCTCAAGATACTTCACACCTTGTGCTTCTGCTCTCACCTTAGCTTTTCAAGTTCTCCCAATTTTTTCATCTTTTTGCCTCCTAATATAACTGCTTTTTGGATTTTATGACATTTTTCCCCTCAGTTTGCCTCATTTTAAGACTTAGTGAAGGTCTCAATCCTTCCAGAAAACGCTCAGGAGCCTAGACTCACAACCCTTGAGCTGAGCAAGGGGCCCCCTCTGTGTATCTTGCACAGAACCCTCATTGTCCTTTAGGGGTTGAACTGTATCTTTTCCTGTGTCTACCATCAGTAACAAGATTGTGCTGTGACACACAGTGCTTCATCATCTTTGTGTCTCACTACCTGAGTTTCTGCTCCGAGGATGCCACTCAGTAAATAGAATTGACTAATCAGTAAAGAGATGTCGTTTGTTACTTTCACTTGAGCAGGATGTTGGGGCACATAATCTGAGTGCTCAAATTCAAAGGTGGAAGCAGTAGCGAAGCTGATATTCCATGGCAGGCAGGACAGGATTATCATCTGGGTTTGAATGGATCTAAAGGTCAAAATGAGTCTGGGCTGCATATTACAAGGAATTTCCTAACTGCACAACAATTTGCATTGGACACTAACAAGAAAACAATGTGATCTCCTCCAGTCTGTGATAGGGGCAAGGTAAAACTCCATAGAGGAAACCAAATTAGATATAGAATGAAATTAATCTTCACTCAGACCACTTGGAAGTGGAGGTGCTCTGCAGTGCTACCTTATTTTTTCTCATTGTTCAGACTACCTCTGAAGTTGGTAGTCTGGCCCCATTTTACCAATTCATCATATGTGTTTTAAGAAGCTTGGTAACCTGCCCAAGGTTACCCCTTTGTAAGTGGGAAAGATAGGTTTGGTCTGATTCTCAGGTGTGGATCACAGCAGCTTCCCAGCTCATGTTTGTTCATAGCTATGAAATTCTTAAACTCTCTTTTATCTACAAAATCCACCAATTCCAAAAACCAAATATAAAATAAATTGTCAGAGAAAAGATATATCCTGAAATCTCATCTGTCTCTCATTCATGCAGATTTGGCAGGAAGGACGTCATATAATCACCAGAGATAAGTTGGGTGAGCATCTGGAATGCTTTTCCAAGTTGGGTCTGCTTTTGTGACAGCTGGTGGTGACCACTGTAGTTAATGGCACAGCTGTGTGTTGCTCGGTCCCCTTGAACCAAAGCTTGAAAATTTTGTTTAGAGGTAAACCTTTGCCAGACAGTGGTAGACAAAATAAGCCTGTGCTCTCTCAGGGTGTTGGCATGAAACAGAATGTGGGGAAACAAATAAATAGCTCTTGACCACTGACAGAAAAATGGCACATCCAGTCTTTCCTGGAGCAAGCTGTTCTCAGACAAGGTATTATTCCCAAGGATGTAGGCACATACTTGAGAGAAAGGTTCCTAAGACAGTTTGGCCTGCAGCCATACTGGTCACCAGGCAGTAGCAGATGGAGTGATTCTCACCACAGTGGAAAGAGCATCTTTAACACTAGAAAGAGTTTGGTCAGAAGACTAGATTGGAAGAGTTGAGGTCTTTCTGGATCTTCTAAGTAAATATAGATGAGAATTACAAATCACCAAGACTATTTGGGATAACAAATTACCAAGGTTGAGTTGGGTGTCAAGGTCTTTCTCTAGTATGATTTCAAGTCCTTAGGAAATAAATACCTAAAACGAGCATCTACAGACTCCTACTAACAGCCTAATATGTTCAAAATTATGTTACATATATCAAATGTTTGAAGCTCTATAGAGTATTAACATTTCTACTTGAAAAACAAATAGGCAGTTTAAAAATCAATCTGAAATAAAATAATTGAGAAATAGATATTATAATCAGTTTATCATAAAAATTTGGAGGGAGGAAGTTAGTGGACCGATACAGTGAATTTGAGGGACCTTTGAGCACTGTTTCCCAATCCTGGCCATAGATTAAAATCATAATTATGTTTTTAAAAAGCATTTGTTTCTGACCACACCTCCAGAAGCTTTTGCACTTGGTATAACCTAGGCGCAGTCCTTAGTATCTTGAAAGCATAATGGTGACTTTCATGGAGAGGTCAGGTGTCGTGCCTACTTTCTAGATGAGACTGTAAACTCATACCCATTGGATCATATTTTCTGTAAAAACCAGTGATTTAGAATAGATATACTCAAAAGATAATAGGTTTTAGAGACTTGTTATGGACCATGAATGTGGGTAATACTTATAGAAGGAGGAAAAAATGCATTCTTGCTAATAAAAAAAAACAGGTATGAATAAAGGTTGAGGGGGGGGATAGATTGGAAGCAATGAATCAGGATTGACTAAGAATGGAAGGACCCATAGAAGAACGGTTTATTTGAAAGAAGTTGTATGTTGGCATTCAGTGGTGGAAAGACTTGAATATTAGAAGTTAAACTTTATTTCCTAGACCAAAGACATATGCAGTGGCTTGGAATCCATCAGGATATTAAATCATGAGTGAGTAGAGCAGTGAGTAAGTAGCCAGTTATAGCCACCAACCAGGTCGTCCACTTTTCTAGAGGTTGAATATTGGTACTGGTAGGTGTTTAACTCAGATTCTAGAGTGCATTTGATAAATTTCCTAATACTTGAAGTAAGCACCTATTGTTTTATTTTAAAAAAACCTATGTATGTTAGGGACAAAATTTATAATCACTTATTGACTGACCCAGGGGCTCTTGATATAGTTGACTTTCTGAAGTAACCCACAAGATCCTTTCTGTAGTGCCTGGGTGTCACATTCAAATGGTTGTCAACAGATTTGAAAATAAAATGGTGCTGGAGGGGATGGAAACAGTTTTTGTGCAGGTTTTGCTTGAATACTAATGTCATTAAAAGTCTTTTTTTTAGTATTTTCTTCTGAATTTCAGGGGACAGGAAGCTCATCCATGTTAATCAGCAAACCTCCCTCTGACTCGTAATTGTCATATCTTTATTATCCTTCAAATTCCTGGAAGAATAGCAGTAGGAAAGAGAGAAAGAAAGAAAGAAAGAAAGAAAGAAAGAAAGAAAGAAAGAAAGAAAAGGAAGGAAGGAAGGAAGGAAGAAAGAAATTAACTCAGTCAAATGATAAATCTATTAGGAAGATTAAATGACTGACAGTCCAAGGAATCTAACTGCATCTCTTGCAGCACAAATCCCCAAAAGCAGGCTGGGGCTATGACCCAACCTATCTTAGGGGAGACATTCAGGAGAGAAAAGGGCAAAGAGATGCCCTGTGAAGAAGTGGCCCTGTAAATCTGTACTCTAGTCAGAATATGCCTTAGGAGAGCACAGCTGTGGCCAAGCCTAGCCATCTCATGCTGCCAGAAGTTTTACAGAAAAGTGAGCTCAAAGAGACAAATTCAGGGGCAAATATCCAAGTGAGAAATGACTGACTGGGAGGGCCACGGAAAAGAGTTTGGAAGTGATACCAAGTGCGTCTCAGCACAATGCATTGGTATAGTGAGAAGGAGGCAAGCCTTTCACTGCCCTGTGGTGTCCACTATTTCTGTAGCAATGTACAGGGTGAATTACCCTTTGACATCAGCCACTTGGGCAGGGCTATTCATTTGCTCTACTAGAAAGCTTGCTTATGGGAGGAGATGTATTCACGTCCATTCTGCCATACCAGGTTCAATTTCAGGCACTTCATAGATTCTCAGCAATTGTAGGATAAGTACAAGATTGACCAACAAAACGAATAAGCAGTATAATCTTACACTGGAAATAAATCAGGCATTCCAAATAAGACCTGGTGTAAATTAAATTTTATGAAAATCCAATGGTTCATGGCTGGCACCCAAATTCTCCCACTGCTTTTGGCTTTTCTAATATGCACTATTCCCAGAAAATCAGGTAAAAATTTGGGAGGGACTAGATGCATCAAATTCTATCAGGAGGGTAACAGATGAGAGAAAATAATAATGAGACAGAGTTTAGAAAAGGGGGAGAAAAGGGTGGGAGAGATTAATTTTGAACAATTTTAGACTCCGTAAGAAAGGTGGAGATTAAATGCAAAATGGAGAGGCAGAAGCTGACATTAATTGCTTGTTCTATGCCAGTTTCTGTGCCAGGGACCTTCCCTGCATTATCTCATATATCTCTCACAATAATCCAGCTGGGCATGGACTACAGCCTCATTTAACACATGCAAAAATTGAAGGCTTAAAGAAGTTAAGAAAAGTACCAAGGTCACAGAGTTGGCAAGGAAGGAAAAGGGGACTCAAACAGAATCAGTTAGACTTCAAAGTCCTCCATGTTGTCACTGGGCATGAGTCCAGTGCAAGTGTTTTGATTACTGGGTAAGCAGAAGAACAGAAAGTGTTTCTCACTTCATATTTTACTACTGGCGAAGAAAGTTCAGAGGGAAGTGGGCCACGAGCTGGAAGGCATATATAAGCAAGTCCCTGAACAACCACTTACCTGAATATTTTATCAGAGGGCTGCTCTCCCAGAACCAGGTCAAAGCCTCTCTGAAATATTGTGTAAGGCCAAGGCCTAAAAGGAGAAACAGTCAATTAAATTCCACTCAACGAACACTTTTTATTTCCGGCGTCCTGCTAGGTTGTACAGCCCCAAAGCCCCTTAAGAAGTCCACTGACAGGAGTTCACGTGTGACCTTGAATCCTGAAATCTGACCAAGAAGGTCAATATAATAATCAGTGAAGCACAAAGTTTAACAGACACGAGAAAGGGCAGTACTTGGAGAGTGAAATCACATTAAGGTGGATCTTACATGGCCATAATTAACAATCCTTCAGATGTACATTTTCAGAAACTTAGTTTTGCCCTACTTAAGAAAGAAGCAAAACATGATTTCTTGGGAAAACAAGCCTTTGGAATCAGACAATTTCGTATCCTATATTCAAACCCTGTTGTGTGATTGAGCCAATTCTCTGTCACTGGGAGGATTACCTGCCCTTGTTGAGCCTAACTTCCTCATTTGTAAAATTAGGGTTAATGTAGCTGCCTCACCCAAGCTTATGAAGCAAACCTCTTTTAAGGCAAGGGCCACAATTCAGTGTCTCCAACACACTTCCCTCCCTCATGCAAAATGCCTTGCGGATTCTAGGTCTTTGATAGGTTTCACATGTCTTCAAGCATTTTAATGCTGCACACTCAAACAGAAGCAATAGAAGTATATTCAAATAATTCTTCACTGTAAGCCTTCCTTGTAAATATCTATTATACATAATACAAAGTCTTTTTTTAAAAAAACTATTTCTTTTAAATAGTGCATATGTTCTCACTGGTTTAGAGATCCTAACTCCACAGTGATTTACTGTTCAAACAAGGTGCAGCCCAGCCCAGGAATTGTGTTGAGTTACAGAGTTATTGTGCATACTGTATAGACCTAGGGGGTTTGTCTTGTGGAATGTAGGTCTCATAACAAAACCAACTATTGAGGATTTTACTATAGATATTCTGTTGTTTTCTAAGGGATGCACAAAAATGTCACTAATATTTGGAGGAGGGCTGATTTTAATATTAGGCATTGACCTAATGATTGCCAATGCAAAGGCTATCATTCAATAGAGGGCACTTAGAGAAATGTGTGAGTTGTTCTTGAATAAAACAATGCTCTGTATGATATGATGATCAGTGGACATTACTGGCATCTAGAAGCTACAGCTAGAATGGCTAGCTCAGTGTAGTGATCTGAGCACAACAAAAAGTTCTTCAAGCTTTTGTGCATCATCATGTTCATTTACTTAAGTGTTGAAAACCTGCTTATAATTTTCTAAGCATAGACGCTAACTCCATTTACACGTGAACACAAAGATTCTTGTATAGTATTAATGTCAGTTGATCTTTCAGGTACATAACAACTGTGCAAATCAAGGGAAGATTACACTCTCTATTATCAGTTTGATTCACCAATATAGCACAGCCGTATCAGTCTTCACATGTATCTTGTATTATACTGCGTATTACATTATCATGAGTCTATATAGATTCAAATGTCTGCCAAGTTTATTTTATCGATTGTAACAAAGTGCATATTAAACTGGTCATTGTATCATGATAAATATCTTATTTTTCAGGTAATTACTGTTAAGTATTATCTACATTAATGAAAGTAAGTATAAATAGACTTCACTGTATATGAATTTCATTTAAGGTGAATAAAAATGATTTTAAAATAGGGTATTGAGTTTGATAGATTTGGTAAGCACCAACATAAACCAATCAGCTAGCCAATTAACTCCACATGGGTGTTGGAAGGATAGGCCATTGGAACTACCTAAGGAAACACTAGGATGAATATGTTCAACTTTTATGCTAACCATTCATATGTGTTTCTGGGATTCAAGTTAACAACACCCTCAGCTTCAGAAAGTCCCCAAACACTATATTCTAAATAAGTCCTGCACCAGAGAAGCACCTCCTACCCCGATGTTCATGTTTCTTATGTACATTGTATGTGAACATGCAAAAGGAATCAGGACTCTGATTCCTTTTTTTTCTAAACAGTAAGTGGTTACATGAATGCTTACTGGCAGCTAAAAAGTTCATATCAATCCCATAAAAATCCAGAACTGATGAGGAAAAATGATCTGTGTTATCCTAGACACCCAGAAAAGGCAGCACAAGGAGAAGAATATGCAACTTCATCTTTTCTTTTTTGGGAAGAATCACATTTATTTACTATAAATTGAATAATTTATAAAAAACACACATTTTTGCCTTCAAGTCATCTGTAGTACTCAAAACTGGTATACTGTATAATTAGAGTGAGTTCCTGGCATGGTTCCTAGGTTATTTGAAAATACACTTTGTGGAGACAAATCTTAGGACTGGCATTGCTTACAATGTGAACAATTAACTGCAAAAATGGCACAAAGAAACCTGCATTCAAGACATAGTTAATGAATCAATGAGCTTGGAAACATTTATGAAGAACACAGCCATATGCTGCTTAATAGAGGTCAAAGAGACTTCCTGCTCCTGGTATTCTTGAAAGCAAAGTCAATTTCTATTTGAGGGGCACTGATATGCAACAGATTGTAACCTGATCGCATTTACAAGTACTCACATATAGTGGTTAGGACAACAGTTCTGGACTGAGGCTGCCTACTTCAAATTGCAGTTTGGCCACCAATCCCTGTGTGACCTTGTGCAAGTTCCTGGTCATTCTGTATCCTCTGTCCTCATCCATAATATGAAGCTGATGATTATAGTCATATCTACTTGGCAAGGTTGTTACAAAAAAGAACTAGTTAATGTAATTAAAATGCTCAGAACAGTGTCTGGCATTTAGCAAGTGCCACAGAAGCACTTATTAAATATGTTAAACTTACTAATTACCTGGATCAAATATAAATCCTGTAATAAAGGGTAATTTCCACATTTCTTTAGAAGAAGAAGTGCCTTGCCTTAAGGTGAAAATGCAAAGCCAAGCTGAGGCTTTGACTCAAGATTGTGGATTAATGGTATTTTCTGGAGAGGAGATCATGGGGAGTACAGGAAAGCAAAGCCTCCTCCCCACTTCTCACCCAAGGATCACCTCACAGGGCAGCTAGCTACACAATACTGAAGCTAAATTCAAAGAGAGAGAGGAACATATTGTGATGCAGCAAGAGAAATCAGGGAGCTGCAGATTTCACCAGCGAAGAAATAAAAGAGAATTCACTGATTTCCTGCCCACTAGGTAGGAATGTTGTACCTGAGAGAGATGAAAATTCTTACTTGATTTATTTAGCAATATTTATGGAGGCCTACTGTGTGTGAGCTGTGATATTGACCAATGGGTATTGGAATAAAGAGATTCTTGCCCTCAAAGGAACTTACAGTTTTTCTGAAGAAATACCTCTTGGCTCTGACAAATAGAAGAGAATGTTAAAAAAGAGAACTGAGGTAGAACCAATACTCTAAGCAGTGTTGGTGGATGTTCAGTGAATCATCGTGGTGCAGAGAAGGTTGAGTGTTGGTAGTACGTGGAATGGTAGTGTGAGGGGGCCTCGCTTATGTTACTGGAAAAGCTGCAGAGTAACACAAGAAAGGCCACAGTAAAATTAATGAAGAGCAAGGCCTAAAAACACCAAAATACTTTGAGGCAGAATCTGTACATCAGAAGAGGCCATGGTAATACAGGCCCAACAGCCAGGAAGACACACATGCAAACTGTGTGTGCTGAGGACTCTCAGTAATGTTTTCTGTTTTGTCTCTTCTTGTCTCGGGCAATATCCACAGATTATCCAGTCTTCTTCATACACTGGAAATTTCTAAGCTTTCAGTTTCTTTCCCCAACTTCTCCTCCTCCTCTTCCCTACAGCACATTAGCAATTGATTTTCCCCTTTATTGAGGATGTGGCTTTGACTTTCTATTTGGCTTTCTCCCTGCATACTTGGGTATTTCTTTCACTATGTAACACTGATCCAACTGAATGAGTGAGGTGCCCAAAAGGCAAGCCCGCCAGGCATGGGACCAGATACTCCTTTCACAGGGTTCTCTCTCCTTGCAGAAAGAGGCTACTACCACTCTACCCAGGAATCTGCTGTGAGCTGCACCTCGATCCAGTGCAAGCTCCAGTCTTCTACCTAACTGACAACTAGAAACAGCTCAAAAGCTATTGGGCTGCATGTCAGGTGATAAGTTGCCTGTGGAGGACTATCACCTACAGGCAGGAAGAGGAACAGAGATGATAGACAGGTAGATAGATGGTGAGATGGAGAGAAAGTATAAGAGAGAACACAAGCACATACCTGTCTATAGATGTATTTATGGGGGGGCACATCTAGTATAGAGGCAATAGTTTAGCCAGAGTCCATGATGCATAAAATGTGTCATGGTGGGCTCTTAGAAACCAGGAAATTTTTCTGAATTTATATATTCCTCTACCTATTAATAAGGGGAGCATTTTATAAATGAAAATAATTTTCCATAGTGACATGAAAGAACATCTTTTCAAGCCTAATTGTGGTCTACAATAGGCTAAACTTCCAGTAGAAGCAGAGCTTCTGCCCACCTATTCAACACACTTTGGGGGCCAGGTATAATGGATATACTGTCCTCCACTGGGCCCCCAAAGTGTGAGAGTCTTTGGGCACTGTTCCTTCTCTGAACTAGGTGCATGCATTTGCAAAAAGTGAGCAATGAAACAGAGAGACAGAGGGTCATTAAAAAGAATGCCTTCTGGAGGAAGGTAACTTGTAAGATATACACTAGAACAGGTGACGAGGAAAATGGTAAAACTGACTTCCAGCTACGCATTTGGCTGAACTCTTCCATGCCTCAATTTACCCTAATGGTAAGAGGCAGAGATGATTATGTGCTACTACCTTCACAATCAGTACCAGTTCTGGGAGAAATAAGTGCCTGAAATGACAGATCTCTGTATTACCTGGTAAACCCATGTCTTTATCAGAAGTAATATAGATAATGATAAATAATGATGTCCAAAATTTCTATGGGATGTTTTAAGGTGTTGGGTGCTTTGCAAATTTTTGAACATTCCCCTAGAACATTCCCCTACCCCTTCCAATTTGCTTGAATA